TTTGCCTTCCTTAGACAACGCATTTGTTCAAAAGTTAAAAAAATGGTGAAATGAACTATTGTAAATTTTGGGCTATTTAATTTGGCGGATTGGGCAAATTTGGGAATGTGGGCTGCTATTTAATATGGCGGATTGACTCATCAGTAAAGTATGGATATTGGAATGCAAGCTACATGTAGGAAGTCACATGGCTGGGTTACTCTTGGGTGACAGCGGGAGGTTTTACCTTCATACATGAAATGTGTGAAAAGAATTTAAGCCCTAGACTTAACACTGCGTCAAATGTGAAATTCCAAGAAATTTCTAGACGTGCAAAGATAGTCTAGGAACTCCGCGTATCTAGAGATTCCAAGACGTGTCAAGAGGTGCAAGGACCTCGCGTGTAAAGAGCGTGTCAAGAGTTTTGATATCTCTTTGCACAGCCTTATCAAAACAAACAGTATAATTAGACCGGCGACATGTTGTTATGCCCTATAGTCGCGCTTAATTATACTTTACTAGGATTGGAATATAACAATCATTTTAATTTCGTGTTAATAATAATTTGTGTTTTTTAAATCATTATCAAAATAAAATTAATTTAAAAGTATGTGTGTGCGTGTAAGTATAGGCAATAGCTTAGTCGAAATGAGTAGACGTGTGCAGATGGAGATCGCTTATCTATTTTGCTAAATCTGACATTTTTACAGGATCATGATATAGATCAAATGAAAACACGAAATGTGTTTTTCTTAGGTTTATCTACCCTGATTTCGAGTGATCTTAACTTGGATGCATATTCCTCTTTTTAAACAGTTTGAATAATTAACAAAGTCCAGTTTGAACCGTGTCAATCAAATTGTCAAATATGTAGATAGCACATGTAGGCCCGAATACAGGGGGGATAGATTGGTTCTAGCGACCCCCCCCCCCTCCATGACCAAAATTGCATTTTTACCCATACTGAGCACCTTTTAAATAATTTTGCCCATTTTTGAACTAACATTGCCAAAAGTGAATTCCCCCTGGAATTTCTTAAAAAAGTAACCCACCCCTTGGCAAATCCTGGCTATGGGTCTGAAACGTCATTCTGATCTTCATTGGTGTACCTAACATAAAAGCATTTTTTGTATTTGTCATACATACAATTCATTCTTTCATTCACATGTTCATCCACAGATATGTCAAGTTCTGAAACATGCAATTCCGACACTTTTAGCTGATTTTTGAAAAGATTCCAAATCAAAAGAATTTAATTGGCTATTTCATTTTGTTATAGAGGAGGAGTTCATAATGACCTCGTGAACCTACAGTTACTTACTGAATGCTAGTGTATTCAATGGCAAATGTTTTTGAAGAAGGTAATACTTATTTAATCATGGCGCACAGTGACAGAATATGACAAATAGTTTTGTATTAATGGAATGAAACATTCCAAATTCCAAAAAGACCAAATTGAACATTCTTTTCTTTTAGATTTTAATGCCTTGCAACAAAGAACAACTAATGCTGAAAAACCTATTTGTTCTTTCTTTGAATTGAGAATAAAAAATAAAACATTCCATTTTCTATCATCGTTCCGCTGTTTTTTATCATAAATGACGAGAATCGTGAACGTTTAGAGAAATGAAAACAGTTTAGATGAACTTGTAAATCATTATAAACTATAATTCGTTTTTGAGAAATGAACATTTTATTATCTTATTAAAGAATGCTGTCAAATTCTTTTAGACACACGATTTGAAACTTGTGCAAGGCTAATACACTCGTCTTTCTGGCAAATACACTCCCCTTCCGAAGTTTGGCAACCTAAGCCCCCCTCTTTATGTTTGAATTTTTATTTACATAGTCTGCGAGGAAAATACTTATAATATTGATGGAAATGTAACTTGACTTCATTTCCAATGCCACAAATCTTCCCAATTCTTTTTCTTCTATTTGATGAATTTTTGAAAATCGTCATTCCCATGTAAACCAAGGGAAACCAATGGGCTTTATATTTAATTAGTAGATTAGATTCAACCGCTGACCATCTGTTATTGGGTCTTTGAAGTTTTAAAATCTCGATAATCCGGTGACGATTATCAGTGGATCAGTTTTTTTAGAAAATAAAAAGTGATTATTAGGAAGCAATGCATATTGGTACACTACGTGACTTTTTAAATATTTTTTATTGTGAACTTTTCCCCTTAACTGTGACAATAAAATACTCATTCGAAATAATAAACCTAGACTTATTTGATATAATCCTTCTTATGCCTTTGCTTTCCTCCAGAAAGATGACTGCATCTGGCTTTTTAAATGGACAGAACTTTCCAATGCACGTAATGTGGGTACTTTTTAGCTTACACTTGTATTTAGTACCAGAGACATACTCACCTAATTGCCGCCTTTAATTGGCCTTATCTATGACAGATGTCATTCCCAGACACGTGTTCTGGTCTATGCTCCCTTCAGTTGCTTCTTAGCCTGCTAACTGGCTGTAATGATAAATGTTTGCTCGCTAATTTAAATACCACCCAACCCTCCCTGCAGGTTATTAGATTTAGACTATCAAATAATCATTACTTTATGGTACTCAATTACGCTTACTCTATTATAGCCTATTAAATGTTAATGACACTCACACTTGTATCTTTATACAGATAATTCAAGTTCACCCTTGAACTTTGGCTTGCCTCTGTGTCAAGTAGAACTGATTGTAGTTTAGTGTAGGGAGTAGAAACTAGCTTTGTTTATTTGTAAACAATTTAGATTAAATAAAGTTCTACTGTGCCCAAACAAGAATTAGGTCATGTTATTTTATTGCAGAGGGGTATATAATAATTATAATTCTTTATCACAGTTCCTATAAGTTGTGAGGTTATTTAATCCATTTATTTGCTAAATATATATAATTAATGACATTAACACGATCCACTAAAGTTTGATATTCTCGAAAATAGAGCGTATACTAAATGCACTGAAACAGCAACAATTTAAATTAAAATAATTTCCGAGATAAACGTGCATCTGAAAAGAAAACTGATTTTTTCGCTTGGATTTATTTTTCCTTAAAAAGTGATGGATAATAAATACCCATTCGATCAAATGCTTGTGTTTATAAATGATACATGCGTGTATGCTTTGAATAGTGACTAGCCTAATAGATGGCACTAGCGATGATTTGATTGGGGACTTTAGCTAAATCCTTCACAGGAAAAGGAAGCCTCCACAGATTGACGAATGAATATCCCACGAATATATTTGGACCCAGTGTAAATTTTGTAGATAGTTATAATAGTGAAAAAACATTTCAGAGTTTTCGTTTTCCAGTTGGAAACTTCCCGTTGGATCAAGTCTCCCTGCAAACAAAATGTCTGCAGAAAAATAAAAGCAAAGCAATGGAATGGAATTCATTGTCATGATATATTAATTAACTTAGAAGAGTGGTTGACTCGATATTGTCATCGCGGTTTATTTTGTCTAGCATTTTTAAGTTAAAAGATATCATGCTAATTCTTGGTATTTCTTGGTAACATTTCAGGTTCCTTACTAAATTTCAAAGCTTCCGAATTTGATAATAACGTTATTACTACTAGAAAATAATTCAACTGTATTTTAAAAAGAACTATACTGGTCTCTGTCGACAATTAGTAAGAATCTAACATAGATTCGAAGGTCATATTTCTACTTTGATTTAGTCTTCGTTAAACTGCACAAAAAACCATTAATTTGTCATACTTAAAAAGACTGGTCAGTTATCTAGTAGGTCATTATGGTTATGGTTTGGGAGCGTTGAACCCAAAACAGCAAGAAATAAGCATAATGACCTACTAGAGTTTAACGAAGACTAAAGCAAAGTAGAAATATGCATTGGTTTCACATTTGCACGCATTTCAATGTTTAACATTTTTTGAACGATTGAACTTCATAAAAAATACTTCCAGTGAAAATAGCATTGCAAAACATTATTCATTACAAATACAAATTTTATTGATATACTTTTGTTAGACCGTACATTGCAAAGTAGGATAATGTACAGCAAAATGGCATTAATCTTGCAAATTCCTCCAAAAATCTGGTTAAATTCCTTTTTATTTCTGTAGTGCTATACAAAATATTTTGCAGTAGATGAAAGGAACTCACTGCAAGCCCACGACTCAATGAATTGTGGATGATCAAATGCACTCACATACCTTGCAGTCTTTTGTGATTCCGAGCTAATGCCTTCATTTAAAGTCTTGATACAAGAAATGCATGTTTTAAATAAGCAGCAATTCATTGAGCCATGGGCTTAAATCCTTAAAGTGTGCGCCCGACCTGGGTACGTATATAACAGAGTTTATACTGGCGGATTAGACTAGTTCATTTTTTATATGTGTGTGAAAGCTTTCTCTTATTTGCGTTTTTTCGTTTAGTACGGTTTTGTTATAATTGCCGAGGTCATATAACCGGGATTAAACAATGATTATCGTTGACTGCGCACACACAAAACATTTACGTCGAGTGCAACAGTGTTATTAAAAACAACAAGCTTTAGAATACAAAGCCCAGTAGTGTGATAATAAGCTGTACACTACCACTGCTGCTTGTACATATTAGGGCTCATAAAGAGTGGATAGGGAGGTTGTTAAGAGCCCACCCCCTCACCACTAATACATAAGTTGAATATGAATACGATGTATAATCTAATGCTGAAAATATAATTTGAAACACATGGTTTAAAATAGCAAAAAGGATAATGTGAATAAAATCATTAAAGTACAAAGCAGGTAGGAATTATTCTTAAAGACATGTCTGGTAAGTATTAAATTACTAATATATTAGGACCATTTCCAAGTTTGATTACTGAAACATAGAATTCTAAAGGTTTCAGAGTAATTTTCGACACTATGTAGGGCAGGCAGCTTTTAGGTGGTAGCTGTCTCCAGCAGATTCATTTATCTCTAAAACCATGCATCACGGAAGAGGAGGGAAACCCCATGATTCAATTGATGACATACGATTTCCGCGCACCTCCTTTCCCGGAACTACTTACCCTCCATCTTGGTTTTCAAAGTTTTCGATTTGACCTAGTTTTAAACCAATGAACGATCGACTCGCTAAACCAATCAGCGACGATGTCATCTCAATACAGATTTACATTATAAGCGTATGTTATCTTTGAATCCTGGAGTTTCTCCCCCTCTGCATCACGGTATCTTGTGATGGCAAGCTCAACAAGACTCTAGAATTGTTTCCCGTGCCCGTTAACAAGTTATGTGATGAAACATAATAGAGCTGTAGAGTTTAGAATTTATTAAGGCACGGCCACTGAATTATCAGGGCATGGCCAAACTACAATTATGCATACTACATGGTCTAAAGATAGAGTTTTTTGAACACCCTGTACTCAGCTTGTATCGAGAATGACCTACAATTTTATGGGCAACTCATTTAAATATGAATAATACCTGCCATTATTCCATTCATATTTAAATGAGTGGGCCATAAAATAGTAGGTTAATCCGATAGCCGTCAGCCGTTAGTTGCATTCGCGAATACAAGCTTAATCTATTGATATATAATATTAACAGGCAGAGGCAACCTCAAAAACGGGCGTTCAATTTGCTTAACGATCTGCAATATATTTTAAAAGGAAATGAAAGATTTATGTCACGACAGCACATTGTGCGTTTTGGTTATTCATATGAACTTTAAAAGATGCATATATGCATATGGCTATCACCCCCAACAAAACAACAATACCAAGTAGCAGATACGTAAACCACATGAAATGTACGTTCTCCATTAGAGCAGCTGCCAACAGGGGCACTGTCATCGCACTCACTGATTTACCAACCATACTGCAGCTTACTACTATACCCGTTACTGGCATCACATTCTCTTGGAGCCAGGAATATATTGAAGCATTCATACTGCCACTTGATAATCCAGTAAAAATGACTGTCACCCATAAAACATAAGTGTGCATCTGAACAAACACTACCATAGTGACCATTGACAAGAGCATGATCAATAGCTGTATTGATATCATTTGGGATTGCGACAATATCTTAGTTGCAAAAGTTCCGAGTAGACATGAAAGGGTAATTGCACCTCCAGAAACCGACGCTATAGATGTTCCAAGATATTTTGTCCATTGGAGTCCTTCAACGGAGAAAGTCGTTATAAGTCCATTAAGGGTTATTTGAACTCCACCATGTGCGTAAAAGATCAAAGTAACCAAGAACAGCATTTTGACCCTATAGCGTTTATTAAGTGGTGCCTTAGTTGACTCTGTCGGTTGCTCATTGTTCAGTGTTTTGGCATCTTGTCTCAAAGCACGAATTGTTTTCATTTTGATAGCAATAAGAAAGAAAAGCAGACCCACTACCCCATAGTACACAGCTACAATAAGGTAAGCATACTTGACACTGGACTCCGTTATATCATTGTTTTCTTTTATGAGAAAGTTAGTTTCAGTAGTCTCCACAACCATTGATGCATTGTCTGGTCCAGAACTTGCATTAGACATGTTGGAATATGTTCCATTATTTTCAATGTCTACATATTTTGTTGGCGCCAGGAAAGGGTTTGCCAAAAGAGGGACGATGCAACCTCCAACACCCTCTGAAAACTGTAGAAACTGCACGAATGGGCTGCTTCTTTTCCCCCATATGGCTATCACAAACACGACCAGTACTGTAAATAAATCAAATCACATTGTTTGTGACTATTCTTCACTGTTATGTTAAATAAGTATCGCTAGATTTTTTGCATTTCTGACATATTCACCTCTATACTTTTGTCTATCATTAAATAATTTTTGAAATTGATTACTTTTATTCACATAAATATAAGATTACCTGTATATACGACTGACGCCCCGACACCTATCAGTCCCCAGCACACGAGAAAAGGAGCGATATGTTTGAAGTAAGGTACTGCGATAACAAGACCCATGTTGGTCAACATCGCTATCCCAAGTGACAGCGCTTGATTGAAGCGGTCGTTAAGGTATCCGCTCACTATTGCGCCAATCAGGGATCCGACCGATATCATGGTGAAAGCGGTAGACACTTCTGTAATGTTGATTTGGAGGTGGTGTCTTAGGTCCAACAGCGTGGGGCCAAATATATAGTACACCATACCCTGGAATATTAAACAAGATACAATATGGGTCACAATTTTCATAAATTTGCATATGCTTTAAGAAAGAGGCCAAAACATTTGGAACCATTTCCCTTGTCTTTGATGGAAACTAAGCAAGATGGAACTTGCGCTATATTTATAATACAAATGTTTGGCAATCGAAAGTATACATTTGAAAGCATATAAAAGCCTGCAAATGTTGAACTCTTACTTTTAGGAGTATATATTGTCACACACGGGAATTTCGCGTCATAATTATTCCTCCGCTTGGTGCGCTGTTGTGCATAGCAACGTCCTATGCAACGTGTATAAACATCGCGCGGACGTATAAGTACAACCCGTCAGTTTTTCATGTTTGCAATGAAATTTTCTATTCAGATAGGTGTTTTAAACTATGATTTTCTTTCATAATATATATTGTTAGATAGGCATGATACATATCATCGTGTTTCTAAAGAATTGCTTATTTTAATCCTGTTTATTTCAAGTTGATAGGTTCAATATTAGTAAAGTTACGGCTTCACTATGGAGGGGCAATTTCTTCGTAAACTAAAAACCGCATCGTCAGCAAAGATTTGACGAAAGCACAACATTTTTTGCGCCGGTGGCATTTTTTCATTTATGGATGAATCTTTATCAAATTTGAAACATGTTTGAGCTAAATATACAAATTGTGTCTTGGCCGAGGCGGAATTTTAAAATTCAAATTACAATTAGAGAAAAAATAGCTAACATGTGTCAAGTTTTACCGCTGATTTTCGAAAAAAATATGATGTAATTCCTTATAGAGTTGGAAGAAAACGAATTGTTTAAACTGCACAGGATAAAAATATATTAATCCAGATACATGTAAGCTTTATATACAAACCATTACATACGTTAAAGGGCATCATCAACTACTAGAAAATCGTGTGTAAAGTTGGACAATATTTGACCCGAATTGACCGGCAAAATGGCTGCGCGCTCGCAGCGCCTCTAGCGGAGGAATAATTATGACGCGAAAATCCCGGGTGTGTGTACTGTATTTAAGTATTGCAAATTGTAGCATGGTTGCTTTCTGCTTTCAAAAGGTCACAATTAAAATCACCAAGAATATACACTGTTTTTTCCTTGGAGATAGTATCAAGAAGTGCTTGAAGATCAGTATTGAATTCCTATATATAATTGAGATTAGGATGTTTTTATTTTTTGAGTTGGTAAGCTGGATGGTCAGGGATTCACATGATACATGGTTGATCTGAAGATCATCATTGTGAGAAGAAAAAGTCTACATACATTCCACTTCTAACTTTTATTGAAAAGATAAGATGTGCAAATGAAAGCAAAATTCCTTCACTAGGGATATCATTAGACTTCTCAAAAGCATTTGACACTATTGATCATAATATATTATTAGATAAACTCTCACACTACGGAATGCGTGGTGTTACCCTTTCATTGTTTCAAAGTTACTTAACTCAACGTCATCAGACTGTTATTTCTAATGGCCATTGTATCCTGAGCTGTGATTTAATTCTTCCTTTGGACTATGAATGGTATTCACCAAATGAAGAACAATGCCCAACTGAAGATAACTTAAAACACAAAAAATATAGGATAAACAAGGTGCCCGATAACTTTATGTTAGATAATAACCTAATAACACAAATTAATAAAACTTTAGATCGTATCTCAAGAACAACTAATACCACTGAGCGTATCAATTGTATGTACAATGAGTTTGTCTCAGCTATTGACAATGAAATGAGTAAAGTGTTCCAACCAGTCACAGTGAAGGCCACTGCTAAAAAACCTAAGTCATTCAGAAAGCCATACTGGTGTGATGAACTACAAACACAATGGAATAAAGTGTCTGCATCTGAATCTGCCTGGCTGAAATGTAAATCCACCCAAAAACGTAACTTGAAAGAACTTTACAAGATAGAACGACGAACCTTTGACAGAATCCATCGCAGAATAAAGCGACAATTCCAGAAACAAGAACAACAACATCTATTGGATATATATATTGAACCAAATTCTAGGAACTTTTGGGATAAAATTGGAAAAATTGGTATCGCCTCAGACCGAAAACAGGAAGTTCCTTGGGAAATTTTAAAACCAGACAAAACTGTATCAACAGAAAAACAAGAAGTCTTAAATTATTGGGCCAACTCATACAATAAATTATATTCAGAAAAAGAGGACAATGTCAACTTTGATGAGAATCACTTGAAACAAGTCAAGGAAGAACTCTCCCATATTGAAAATGATAATGTTGACCCACTAAGTGCACCACTTAATGAGGACATAACCCTACAGGAAGTCATTAATGCAGTTCATCGAGCCAAAATTCGCAAAGCCGTGGGCATTGACTCAATCCCAGCAGAAGTATTGAAAAACCCAACCTGTATAAATATGTTGTATAAAATTATCATAGAATGCTTTGATAGTGGAATTGTCCCCCAAAAGTGGATGCAGACCATAATTAATCCAATTTTCAAGGATGGCGACAACCGTGACCCACTTAACTACAGAGCAATCAGCCTAATCTCAGTGCCATGTAAAATATACTGTGATATTCTTAACAAGCGCCTTACAAAGTTCCTTGAGAGCAACAACTTATTGGTTGATGAGCAAAATGGATTTCGTGAAAAGCGCAGCTGTTTAGATCATGCCCACAGCCTCCACTCAATAGTTAATAATCGTAAGTTGGCTAAACTCGAGACATTTGTTTGTTATGTCGACGCAACGAAAGCTTTTAGTGGTCTAAATCGTGATTGTATGTGGCTAAAATTAAACCGCATTGGAGTCAAGGGCAAAATATTCAATGCAACTAAATCATTATATCAGGATGTATCTGGAGCCATTCGTGTCAATGGATATTTAACACCCTGGTTTACCATCAGCAAGGGTTCGAAGGAAGGCTGTCTGTTATCTCCGACAATATTTGCAATCTATGTGAATGACCTAGCCGCAGAAGTAAAACAATTGAACTGTGGGATAAATATAGACAACACAAATGTCTCAATACTTTTATATGCTGACGATATAGCCCTCATAGCCAGCTCTGCAGAAGACCTTCAGAGAATGATTGACACTGTAAATACATGGTGCAGGAAGTGGAGAATGAAAATCAACCAGAGAAAGTCCAAAATTGTACATTATCGCCCACCTTCAAAACCCCGTAGTAATCATCAATTCAACTGTGGCAACATGGAATTATCATATGCCAGCACCTATAAATACCTTGGTATATGGTTAGATGAACATATCAATTACAATAAAACTGCAAAAGAAATAGCCAAGTCAGCAAATCGTGCCCTTGGAGTTATAATCTCTAAGTATAAACAGTTAGGTGGCATGGATCTCTCAGTGTATAACAAATTGTATGACACCATGGTTCAGCCTATTATTAACTATGGATGCTCAATTGTTGGGCTGTCAGAACATAGCTGTATTAACAAAGTGCAAAATAGAGCTGGAAAATTTTTCCTGGGTGTTGGAGCAAAGACCAGCAATGAAGCAGTAAGAGGGGATTTAGGCTGGACACAAGCAAAAGATAAACAGAAAATTGAATGTGTACGCCACCTTATTAGACTCAGAAACATGAACCCCAACAGATTGAACCATAAGATCTACAAATGGTCTCTAAAAAGACGCTCAAGCTGGGATTCCAGAACACAGCACATACTGTACGCCCGGTATTATTCGCGTGCGATTTAGTTTCGCGCTTTTCGCGAGGGTGTTAAAATCGCGAAAAATTATCGTCGCGAAATTGCCAATTAAATCCCCGGGAATTTGTTTTTACCCGGGGCTATGATGCATTTCGTTTTGTATAAAACGTTTCGTCTAGTGTTATTGGGCGATAATTGGATGATTTCCACCAACATGTCTATTTTACGTTGGCTAGTCAGGCCAACTACTACCAACAATGCCAGGTCTCATTTGATTTTCGTGGCCAATTGATGACGTTTCCCTCTGTCTGAGTAAATGATTTCGGTGGCTTGTTAAATATACTAGTAGTGCATTATGGGTAGGGACTGCTGTGAAATGATGAACGTAAATGACATCTACTAGTGTCTAAGTTCCAATTACTAGTACAAGTAAGTGAAATTCGCGAAATTTAATAGCCGCGAAATCGTGTTTTCGCAAAATTCGCGAAATTAAATCTCGCGAATAATACCGGGCGTACAGTAATACAACTAGCATGCCTTGAACAACATTTAGGGACACAAACCCCATGTAAACCCTTCATGAAAAAATTAGTGATTATTTTCAACAAACTGATCCATTTCTTACAAATATTTGGAATGATCAACATAACCTAGTCAATGGTAATAAACTGAGGACATATAGACAGTTCAAGTACGGAGTAGTAACTGAACATTATAATAACATTTACATGCCAAGACATCAAAGGAAAATTCTAGCTAGCTTTAGAACTGGGTCCCTTCAACTTAATGTTGAGAGACAAAGGTATAATAACACACCTCTATTGGAAAGGAAGTGTAAACTGTGTGACTCAAATGAAGTTGAAGATGAATTACATTTTCTTGTTAAATGTTCACATTATACAGAATTAAGAGACATGTTGTATCAGGAAGCCAAAGTTAAAGTACCTTATTTAAATACTTCAAGTGCCAATCCAACCTTAATTATGATCCCATTACTACATGCAAAGAACATTCAAAGCTGCCTTGCTGCTACTCTTTACAAAATGTTCTCAAAACGTTTATTTAACCTGGAACGTTTGTGATATTAAATATGTGCAATATTATCAACCAGTCATAATTACTGTATTCTCATTTATTGCATTTTGAAATCACATGTTTATATTGTATGTTATTTAACTCTAGTCATTTTGTCTGTGAATTGTTCACACTCTGCAAACTTAATCTACATCCTCTGTGATATTATTCGACATACAGATGCTATATTTTTCTATTGACTATTTTGTATATTTATATGGTGTCTCGTAAGCCGATGTCGGCTGTTGGGTTTTTTAATACATGTATTTTACTTGTAATATTTTAGTAAACCTGTGACACAGAAATAAACTATTATTAAACTAAACTAAAACTTAACTCAACATCATCAGACTGTTATTTCTAATGGCTGTAAATCGAAACAAACCTCATTATCTCATGGTGTCCCTCAAGGTTCAGTGCTTGGTCCTATTTTATTTCTTCTTTACATAAATGACATCTACAAATCTGATTTCTTTGAATTCATCCTATTTGCTGATGATACCAATCTCTTGGCCTCTCACAAAGATTTACCCACTCTATTTGTCACCGCAAATGAAGAACTTTCAAAGCTCAGTGACTGGATCATTGCCAATAAACTTTCTTTAAACATTGACAAAACTAAATGGATTCTCTTTGGACCAGGTAAAACTTCTAACAATCACTTTCTCAAAATAAATGACATCAAACTCAAGCAAGACATCACTATATCTTTCTTAGGAATAGCTATTGATGCCAATTTAACTTTCAAAGAGCATATCAAAAACTAAGAAAAAAAGATGCATTGGGGTCTTGTATGGAGTCCATATTTTTTTAACAAAAAGTGCTTTGCTTATAGTATATACTACTCTCTTATTCACTCTCAACTCAATTACTGCAATATTATTTGGGGTAACAACTACAAATCTTATCTTGATAAAATTTACATGATTCAAAAACGATTTGTTCGCATTGTTTTTGGAAAAAAATACGTTGATCATACAGCTCAATTATTCAAAGAACTTAATCTTCTGAATATTTATGATATAGATAAGCTGTATACAGCAATTTCATGTACCAAGTAAAAGATGGTGACCAAATACTAAATTCTCTACTCGATACAAATTTCCAAATAAACTGCGATACACATAGTTATAATACCCGCCAATGTGACAACTTCCATACTGAACATGAAAAAATATATATATATATATATTGAACATGCGAACAAATTTTTCATAAAACGAAATGGGCCTTCACTATGGAATTCTCTTTAACATTCCACAAAAATGTCAAAATCTATAATCTCCTTTAAAAAGGCCTACAAATCTGACCTCTTGTCAAGCTACTTATAAAAAATCTGTCTTATTAAACATTTTTATTTACTATCCACGCATTGTATATTACAATAGTCATGGCAAATCATTTAAACACAACGTACATACATGCTTAGTGTATGCATTGTACTATGTCATATCATGTAAATACTTGTATATATGAAACGCATATACCTATATACCCTTGTTAACTAGTTAGACTATATATATATTTTTTTTTTTTATATTTGCTAGTGATACTTTTTTTGATACTTGACATTATACTTTTATATGCCATTTGGTGTCAGTATTAGTCATGTATTATTATTGTATATACATTTTTTCTGAATAAATAAATAAATTGCAGTTAAAACAGTAAAGTTTAAAAAACGAAGCACATGTAGAGTAACGGTTGCCATAGTAACATGTCACAACAATATCCGGGGAAATGTTTCATGAAAATGTTAACATTTTTCAATAATAATTAATAAAGTATGCAACTCACATACTTCAATACTAAAGTCTATATCAAAGAATTCGAAATATGCAGTTTTGCTTTGCAATAAAAAAGTGCAATATGTTGCCGATGGAATACCTCTGTCCTAAATGAGTTTGTAATTCGATGTTTTTTTGCCTTTTTAATTTTTGACTCTAGCGTCAATAGACTTATGTTGACCAGAGAGGGGGGGGGGGAGAAGCTCAAATGATCCCATAGCAGAGGGTATCAAATGATGTAAAACAAATGTAATTCCTTCTATTTGTTGCATTTTAGTTTTGACATACTGGACGCACCCTTTGTTTCATTAGTAAGTTTTAAAATAATTTAAAAGCCCTAGGTAAAGATTAAACCACATAGGACAGGGGCGTAGCCAGCTTTCAGTCAGTGGGGGGGGGTGCGATCACCAAAATTATTTCGGTTTTCAGCCGGAGGGGTGCGATTGTGGCATAAACAAGCCAAAAATAAGTTTAATTTTAATTTTACAAGAATTGATCATTTTCAAGCTCTTTTCTTCTTCTTTCTCATGGTTTTATTTTTATTGATATGAGGGGGCACCCCGCCCCTGGCTACGCCTATGTAGGATAATGTTGCAGTATTACCCAATGTTATCAAAATGTGATATATGAAACTTTTATTTCAATTTCAAAAAGTTAAAAATTGTGAACTCATTTCAAATAATCTTTTACCCTACTATCACACCAAACTAGTTCTCACTATGTTCTCGAAAACGGGCTTAAACCGTGCACTAACGGATTTGACGTACAAAGAACCCACTAAGAACCGTTTAGGATCTGTTTACAAACTTCATGAAACTACTCGAACGAGTAGGTCCTCCAAAACTTAGAGCATGCTCAAAATTTTCTGGTGATCGTCAAAACGTTGCCGAATCGGTTTTAAACTGTGTGCGAACTGAATGAACGTACCTACAACGTTCTACGGTCTGTTTACGAAATTCATGGACTTTCCCGGACGGGGAATGTGATTTAGAATTTTGAATTGATTCAAAATTCGATGGCGACTATACCGTTCTTTTATCAGGTCATGATGACCTTCTAGACTAAGGGACGCGTTATACGACGTTGCACACCGACGTGATGCGATTGAACGAAATGCGAATGAGATGGACGTATTGAAGACTATTTATGAACGAAGTAGCTAATTATTTTAGACATATTTCCCGACCACAGCCAGATTGAGCCCGTTTTACGACGTTTTCGTAGGACTGACAAGAACGGGTAAGAACTAGTTTGGTGTGATAGGGGGGTTAGTTGTAATACATTGTTATCAATAAGTAATAATTCACACTAATAGATAGCATGCATGCTAATTTAGTTTATGTTGAAAAGAATTGTACGATTGGTTAAAAAATATCGGATAGAAATAACATCATGTGTTAGCTCAGAAAGTGGTTCAGGGAAGTCAAAAATTCTAAATAAAAGGGAGATGAGCTTGCAATGTTTTTCATAGCCTAAAGGTGAACGGAAAATATTTAAGCGATGCATTTGTGTGAGCGATTGGTCATACGTATAGGTTGGCGTTTCGATTTTATATGCAAGCTTAAACTCCCTATTAACATAATAAACGAATAAACTAATTTTTTAAAAGTCTGATATGACAATGTTTTATGATCTAAAGCTGAACATCCACGAAATCAACCTCCGAACCTCGAGGTACACAAATGAACGCATCAAAAAAAATTTAACGAAGTCAATTTGAAAAAAATACTTCAATAAACTATATTTACCGAACCAAAAGCAGCAAGAAATATCAGTAACGTAGTGGGCCACTTTAGATTTTCTGCTAGTGTTGTGCCAGATCTATCAACCTGAGTATCCACTTTAACAGCTGAAATATCAACTCGGCTTTGACTCTCGCTGTTCATTTCATCGACTTTTACTTCAGTATCCACCATAATATCATCACGGCGTTGACTCTTGCTGTTCACTGCGCCGACCTCTTCTTTGTTATCCACCATAAAACCATCACGGATTTGACTCTCGCTGTTCATTTCACCGACTTCTTCTTGAGTATCTACTATAATATCATCACGTCTCTGACTCTTGCTGTTCACTCCACCGACCTCTTCTTGAGTATCCACCATAATATCAGCTCGGCTTTGACTCTCGCCGTTCATTTCATCGATTTCTTCTTGAGTATCTACTATAATATCATCACGTCTCTGACTCTTGCTGTTCACTCCACCGAGCTCTTCTTGAGTATCCACCATAATATCAGCTCGGCTTTGACTCTCGCCGTTCATTTCATCGACTTCTTCTTGAGTATCTACTATAATATAACCACGTCTCTGACTCTCGCTGTTCATTTCATCGACTTCTTCTTGAGTATCTACTTTAATATCAGCTCGGCTTTGACTCTTACTGTTCACTCCACCAATTCCTTTTTGAGTATCTACTATAATATCATCACGGCCTTGGTCCTCGCTGTTCATTACATCAACTTCTTATTGAGAGTGTAATATGCAACAATATTCATTTTCAATTCAATTCAATTTTCATTTGAACGGCTTTTATAGACTCTAAGGCAGCTATACACTGAAAAAAGATGGCTTTGCGAATGTGATGTGTTATTGAAGGAGCAATTAATCATCGTCGATTCGTCATATTACTCTTTTGAAAATCAACTTTTTAAGTTTGTATAGATTCACCAAATCAAACCGTTTCGGTAACAAAATGTCGGAACGTCGAAGGTACGATTTTTCTTTTTTCACACGTTGTAGGCAGAATTCCCACGCCATTTTTATCACACACGTGTATCAGTATCATATGTTTAAGAAAATGTACACATTTGCAAATTCGAACAAATAGTTCAGAAGACATCGGAATCGTCGATTTAATTCCTCACTTAAGTTACATAAACGGTATTTCGAAAAACAGTTAAGATCTGCACTTTTAACCCCTACGTTTGTGTAACTTAAGTGAGGAATTATATAGACGATTCTGTTGTCTTCTGAGCTATTTTTTCGCAATCATGTACATTTTCTAAAACATATGATACTGATACACGTTTGTGAGAAAAGATGTCGTGGGGATTCTGCCTACGACTCGTGAAATAAGGAAAAAAAGAAAAATCGTACCTTCGACGTTCCGACATTTTGAGACCATGTGGTAACCAGCGTAATCGAGCGAATCACCAGTGGTAACGCTCACTTTTCTGTTTGACTAAGAAGCATAACGAACATTAAATAGATAGTATATATAGTTTGCTGATTAATTTAAGGTCGCCTGGTGTATTCAGTGCCACACATTCATATTACCTGACACAGTTACAGTTTTGATTGACAAACCTGATAACAAGCTGTTTTCCTTTTACTGTTGAGTTCCATTTAGAGTTATGAATTCAATTGTAAATAATTATATATCAAAGCTACTTGATGCTTATAAGCATGTGCTTCATGTATTAAATACTGTACTTGTTCTTTGCATTTTTTAAAATTGTTTCAATTGAAATGTCACATTTTTCTGGTTTTAACTTTGCCCAGCTCCTGCTCTTAAATTGTGTGCTATTCCTTTTATTGTTTGGTTGGGTCTAGTTGATTGCCTTTGGAGATCACTGAGGAAAGGTGAGGGTTAATGCCAAGTGAACAAGTCACATGGAGGGCTATCATTGGCTTATTCAATGTATATAAAGTGTATTTAAGAAATGATAGCAAACCTGACGAGTGGAAATCAAACATCAGAGCACTGAAATATGATGGTTTCATCTTTCTTATGATATATTTTTTCATTCTGATTCTCACTTTACTGAAAATTAACATCCAAGCAGAACGTTTCTGGAAACTTCAAATTATGCTCCTATGTGTATTATATCATTCAGTTATTGGCCCATTTCTTGTATACTGTATTTATGCTATTGCTTGGTCATCTTGGACTAAATCGTATATTCTTTTCAGTGTGAGATTCCACAGAATACTCTGTATTATGACTATTTTTCCAGGTTCACCACTTTTGATGTACAGGGTGACCGGAAAAAAGGAGACCATTGAAGTAATCAATTTCTCCTAAACTAGACAAGTGCCATCAATGAAATTTTGCATACACTGGAACAGTTATATGGAAATTTGTTACTGAAGGTTTCAATACAAGCATTCAACTGGTTCAGGAGCTATGATCATTTACATGACATGCTCCAAATAGGCACAATTGAGACCAACGCAGAGTTGGATTCATATGGCAAACTACCCTTACATGTTCTGCCCTCTATGGCATTATTATGGCATTACATATAGCAGTGATTGCCTTCTTTAGGTCAACAATAGTCTGAGGATTGTTTTGGTATAGATTGTCTTTCAAATATCCATACAAAAAGAAATCAGCAGGATTCAAGTCTAGGCTGTAATGGCAATGAAGGGTTATCTGACATGTGGTTCATCATCCTGTTGCTTAAGTGCTGATTTACCAAATCTTAAGAGTCACTTTAGGTATTGGGCATAGTGCCATGTTACTAAAACCACTATATGGCACAATTAAATCCCATATGAAAACCAAGGGCTGCCCAAAACCTCCTTAGGATGATACTGTAACTGAGTGGGACCACTGAGTCAGAAGCCATAGGTCAGATAAGCTTCGTCTCCATACACCTCAAATTTGAATCCACCTGATTTCTTTTTGTGGGGCAATTTGAAAGACAATGTGTACCAAAACAATCCTGAGACAATTGCTGACCTAAAGGTGGCAATAAATGCTAAATGTAATGCCATAACAAGGTCGGAATATGTAAGGGTATTTGCCAAATGTATCCAGCTCTGCGTTGGTCTCAATTGCGCCTATTTGGAGCATGTTATGTAAATGATCATAGCTCCTGAACCAGTTGACTGCTTGTATTGACACTTTCAGGAACAAATTTCCATAGAACTGTTCTGATGTATGCAAAATTTCATTGATGTCACTTGTCTAGTTTAGGAGAAATTGATTACTTCAATGGTCACTATTTTAGGAGATATTGCCTATTTCAATGGTCTCCTTTTTTTCCGGTCACCCTGTACCTAGTTGATTGCACATTTATACTGAAACTCAGCGGGGATATTGAATCAAATCCCGGACCGCATATTGAAAACACTATAAATGAGTTACCTATCCTATTTTCTAACATAAATAGTCTTAAAGCAAATTACTTATCAAGATTTGAAGCCCTTAAATTTAGGGTTAAGCAACATGACATAAAAGTAATTGGTCTCTGCGAAGTGGGAAATCTCACAAAAAATGATGTGGAAAACTCCTTGATTTTCAATGATTTTCAAATCCTCTATTATACTAATAAAAACCGTGGATTAATTATTTATGTTCATAACTCAATTGAATCTGAAATAATTCATGATCTTATGAATGACATTCTTGGAAACGTTTGGATAAAGCTGAAAATAAGTGGCAAATATTTTAATTATGGATTATTTTAGTGAAGGCAATAATTGCACAGGAAAATGCCTATATGGATTGGATACGGAGGTTTAGAAAGTGAATTATATTTGGGAGAGAATACTTCGAAGGAGATATAGAGCCCTGGCTTAGGCCCACTGGCTTAATGTTGTGGCAAAGATAAGATAGGTCCATGGACTGCACATTATGGTTGGATACATTGATTGTGACTTAAAAGTATCCATATTCAAACTGCTCCGCGGTATCGAGACAAGTATATTTCAAACGGATGTTTAACTGTGGCTATAATATATTACACGCTATAATTCTCACAGCTTAATCATAAATAGTCGAACTATACATTCTAAAAGTTTTGTCTTGTTCTGATCATTCCTCATATTTTTAGAGCAAAAAGAAAGGAACTTTTCAAATGCCCCTCGTAAATGTGAATCCTTATTGGGATTACAAAAAATCCATCTTTTCTACGTAGGGTATGGAAATACGACAATGTTAATGTTTCCACTCTGAATAACTCAATTCGTCACTCGCGACTTTGTAATATAATTGAAGACTCAAATGACTTGAACAACATTGGGAAAGAGTTCACCAGTTCATTATTCGATATTTTTTGTTCTTGCATTCCAAATAAACAAATAAGAGTAAAATCAAATGACAAGCCATGGTTTACTGACAAAATCAGAACATTAATCAACAAAAGGAACAAATGTCACTATGCATTTCGCCATTCTAACAAACCTGAACAATTTGATAGATATCTTGCCCAGTGCACAATTGTAGATAATGCCATTACTCAAGCGAAACTCGAACATGAAAAGCGGATAATTAGTAAAATGGAAACACAACATTTTGGTTCAAAATCTTACTGGAACATCACATCTAAATTATTTTCAAACAGTCGATCTAGTTCAATACCTATTCTTGTTGACGATCTGGGTAATACTGTCAGGTCAGGCAAAGATAAAGCCAATATTTTCCTGAATCATTTTATTAAAAGTTTTCATTTTGAAGGGCCTGTTGATAATGCTTTTTTACATCTTTGTACAAATGAGTCAATCAACATGCTGTCAACAAATAACAATGAAGTTTTCGAAACGTTGGTGAATTTAAATGTAAATAAGGCCTCTGGACCAGACCAAATTAGTAATAAAATGCTAAAACTGGCAGCCCCCGCTCTCTCTCTCAACCATTATCTAAACTTATCAACAAGATTTTTGCAACAAACTGTTTCCCTCAATGCTGGAAACTTGGTAACATTGTTCCCATTCATAAGAAAAGTGACAAAAATACTCCATCAAATTATAGGCCAATTACACTTTTAAGCTGTCTTTCAAAAGTTACTGAGAGAATCTTATTTAATAAGGTTTTTAAATTTCTTGTGGATCAGAATTTATTATATAATCTACAAAGTGGGTTTTTACCTGGCCACAGTACTCAATTTCAGTTACTGACAATAATTGATTACTTGACTGAGCATTTAGATGCAGGATTTAATGTAAAAGCGGCATTTTTGGACATCTCGGCCGCGTTTGACACAATTCCTCATAACCTTCTTTTGAATAAACTTCCTAGTTATGGCTTCGGTCCTGATGTATGCTCTTTGTTGAGATCATACTTAACTAATCGCAGGGTCAAAGCTGTCATCGATGGCCAAAGTTCTGAATGGTCAAAAGAAAGTTACATCAACTCTGGAGTTCCCCAAGGATCAATATTAGGCCCTCTTCTTTTTCTTATCTATATCAATGACATAACTGACCATATTGACTCTAGATGTTATCTCTATGCGGACGATACGTCCATCTACCAGCCATTTCAAGCTGGTGATATAGATATAAAGATGACTGAATTACAAAATGATCTAGATGCAATTTACAATTGGTCTGACAAATGGAAATTAAAGTTCAAAGCGAGTAAAAGTGCTGAGTTAAATTTCTTTGACCCTAGGAAAGCAGAATTGCTTACTCCTTCTTTGTCTTTGGGTGGTGACATTATTCCAAAGGTAAATATGCACAAGCATCTTGGTTTAGTTTTTGATAGCCAGCTTACCTTTGAACCACATATTATCGAATCAGCTAATAAAATTGATAAGTTGCTAAACCACTTGAAAAGTATATCAAGAAATTGGGTGGTAAACATCTGAAGCTTATGTTCAACTCTTATATTCTGCCTCATTTTGATTTATATGATATTTTGTACGGATGTGCAAACCTAACAACTCTGAAGAGTCTAGATAGGCTTTATTATAAAGCTGCAACAATATGTGCAGGTACAATTGCTGGAACCTCGTCTACTAAACTGTTCCATGTATTGAATTGGCCAACGTTGGAGATTCGTAGAAAGATACATAGACTTACATTTATGTTCAAAGTGCAATGTGGAAATGTACCTCATTATGTTTCAACAATTTTTGACAAATACAAAAAACCAAATATCAGAGATATTCGTAATGTAATACCTTTTCAAGTTCCACTACGTCGCTCAAGAATACGCTCTAGATCTCCCACCTTCTTGTGTATGACTGAGTTCAACGGATTGAGCTCCAAGATTAGAAACTGTGATACAATCAAGACTTTTAAGAATAATATTAGTCAATTGTTCTTAAATAATGATATTATATTGGCATCAGAGTTGGGCATTAATAGGGCTGACGAGATATATTTGAATAGAATAAGAGTTGACCTCATATTAAATGCTCACCTTCATGCCCATAACTTTGTCAATGTAAACTCACCTGAATGTATATGTGGTGACAAAAGTGAAACAACAAAACATGTAATATTTTCTTGTCCTATTCGACAACCATTCTACATAAGCTTTGAACAGAAGCTTTTTGATTTACTTCCGAACTACAGGCATTTATGCAAAAATAGACAAGATAAACTTGACTTATTTCTCTTTGGTCACCCATCTCTTTCTCTTAGTAAGAACCATGAAATACTTGCATCCAGTGCTCTGTTTATCAGACAGTGTTTCGAAAGACCCCAGGCAGTTTAAGCCTTTTACCATTTAGGCTTACAATTTTTATTTTTTACCCCTTTATATAAGTATTCTAGATGTGGCTAATAATGCTTTAAGCCCAGCCGCAGGACTATATTGTACTGTTATATTATATAAATGAATAAATAAATAAATATAAAAAAAAATGTGAAAAACATCTATTTTCCAGGTAGCTCAAGAATTGCAGCTTGTAGAAAGAGATCCAAATTATATAAATCCACACAAGACAGAAGTAAATGAGGTAATAGTCATATCCCCTGAAGGCATTGGTTTAAGGATTTAAGCCCTGGACTCAGTGCATTGTTTGCTGAATCATACCATGAAGGTTTTGTTTCCAAACCTTTGCATGACCGCCCAGCAGGAATGCAAAGTTTAGGAAACAACACCTGAGTGGAATGAAGCAGCTACAATGCATTGAGTCTTGGGTTTAAATTATTTTTACACATTGCAAGTTTTTCTACAAAATCATCCAAAAGGAACGAAATCACTAAAATAACACATTTTCAATGAAATGTTTTGCAAAGGTCAAGTTGCCAAGTCATCAAATTCAATGTGAAAAGCCCATTCATCGCCGACGCCATGACAACTGTTTAACTAGTGACCTTGCATGTGTTATTTATATTTCACACACTGTTCTATATGTGAAATACTGTGTTCAGATTGGCTTGAATCGGACACACCTTGCCTAGCTATATAGAGTTACACATCATGTTTAATTGCTTCATAATGAAGCATGTTGATAAATTGCTTCGTAGCAAAGGATGTTCAGGTGTTACACAGGCACAAAATCATTGGTTACGAAGTTTTTATTGTCAAAATGCCTCGTAACTAAACAATTAAACCCGGTAGTGTAACAGGTACCATTGTTTGCCTTCCTTAGACAACGCATTTGTTCAAAAGTTTAAAAAATGGTGAAATGAACTATTGTAAATTTTGGGCTATTTAATTTGGCGGATTGGGCAAAGGGAATGTGGGCTGCTATTTAATATGGCGGATTGACTCATCAGTAAAGTATGGATATTGGAATGCAAGCTACATGTAGGAAGTCACATGGCCGGGTTACTTTTGGGTGACAGCGGGAGGTTTTACCTTCATACATGAAATGTGTGAAAAGAATTTAAGCCCAAGACTTAATGCATTGTGGAATGACCATTCCTTTCAGGCATTGTTTCTTAAAATTAACACTCGATGCAAGCATCTTGTGCAGATTTTCTAAAGCAACACCTTTGAGGAATGGTTCCACATTGCACCGAGTCCAGGGCTTATATCCTTAAATAAAACCCTCCGGTTTTAATCACATTGGTTTCATTGGTACCTTGTTGGTTCTCCAGCCTTAAGGAAATTATCAACCTCTTGAATCCCAGGCTCTAAAATCTGTTGATACCAGAGAATTTTTCATTTTTGCCATCTTTTGAGATTTTACTACATACCTATACAACTTTAGATGCTCGTCTTAGTAAAATTAGACAGAGATCGAGATTAGAGATCGTTTCTACACATTATAAAACAATTTGCGTGTAAATTGGTTGAAAATTGTTCAAATAAGAGCAATTTTAGTGAAACTTTTTGTGACAGATTTTCGTCACGGATTTCAAGATCATTTCTGAGATGACGAGAAATTTCATCACTCCAGGAAGTCAAGAGGTTAAAACTCTTAGGGAGTCAACTACAAACACTATTACAGTCATAATTTTATCAATATACAGGGTGGGCCAAATAATATGTTGCCATATATTTGCAGATGATTGAAGAGGCCAAAAAGCAACAACAAATGGAAGAAAAAGAAAAAAAGAAGAAAAAGAAGAAAGAAAAGAGAAAAGGCCCACGATTAACTGGCGTTAGAAATGAATTGTAGATTATTTTTGTATAGGGGGTCACCTCAAAAGTTCCGCACTAAATTCTCCACATAATCCATTGCTTTAAGATGTTTTGTTAAAAATGCTTCATTCAGGTATGAAATTTGTACTGTTTGGTTAACAAAACTGCCTCTTATAACCCTTCCACTAACTGATTATGTGTTGAATTTGGAATTGAACTGATGATATGACCCCTAACCTACCTAGGATACAGCATTTTATTGTACCGTTACTAAGGTAACCTTGATCACCATGGATATGAAGGAATATATAGGAATCTATATGAAACTGGTCTTGCCCATTTTAGTTTTGTTTATCCAATTACAAATCTGAAGTTTATCTAAGATCAGAAAAAAATACCATGATAAAATCTTTTTTAATTCTCTGTGGCTTGTTCTAGAGTTCCTCTAAATCTGCAACACATGTTTAACGTAAAATTGTAAAATCAATCGAAGCATCATCTAAGTAGTTACAAATCAATAGAATAACACATTCATTGAAACAAGCTCTTTTCTGAGTGGGACCACTTTCGAGCCACGATTTATTGTTCATGAGCGATAATACCTTAATAAAATCATGTACATTTTAATCCATTTGAAAAAACAATATGGCCATCTAAATTAAACGGCAACATTCAAATGTGACAATTTTTTACTCACATATTCCAGTATTCATGACAAACATACTCACATTGCAAAAATGAAACCACAGATAGCCATCTATTACATTGTATTTCCTCTGCTTTAAAACATAATTTTTGAGATGACTGAACAAATAATCACAGAGATTTCACTCTGGAGATTTCCCCTTTTGAGTAAATAAGGGCAGGACCATTGATTCAATGGAAGAATCCTATCCATTTCTTCAAGTCCATGATATCACTAAAAGCGCTATCTGCTTACTTTTCATTTGAAAGATGATTTACCAAGTTTTATTCATGTATTGTCACACATGGGATACAATGTACTGTACGATTATTGTAGATCAGTGTTGACATTTATACAATTGTATAGTCTCCAATATTTTGTGGACGGTATCTGGTGGCTGGTGTTCAGTGATTGGCATCTGTAACAAATAGCAGGTGGTAACATTGTATATGTTAATGCCTTGTACTTAATTTAGGGCCTTCTTGAATTTGTTTTTTAGAAAAAATTCCAAATTAACCCAATGCAAGTGCCTTCATTG